CTTTTCACACTAGCTGAAAAGGTTGACTGCTAATAATTTTCTCTTTTCACACTAGCTGAAAGGTTGACTGCTAATAATTTTCTCTTTTCACACTAGCTGAAAAGGTTGACTGCTAATAATTTTCTCTTTTCACACTAGCTGAAAAGGTTGACTGCTAATAATTTTCTCTTTTCACACTAGCTGAAAAGGTTGACTGACAATTCTCTTTCTCTTCTACTGATATTTCGAAACCAATATTTAAAAAAGCATTAAACATCCTAACTTTTTTTCAATTATATAATTTATATGTCAAGAAAAATCTTTAGGGAAAACACAGTAAACCTTACCTTTAACACTACTGAAGCAAAAAAAGCACTCTTCATCAAGTTTGGTGATATCTTAAAAGCATCTCCAAGATACTTTCCTATACAAGATATGAATTTTGAAAGGTGATAACAAACAGTAATAAAGTAAAAAAATGTCATGTTATGAGTCAACCATATATATTATAAGTACAATTATGAAGAATAGACTGTAAGAATGTATATTTTATATAGGTCAAATTTAACAAGTGATTGAAGTTTGAAATCAACAACTAATGTAGTATTACTTGAACCATCTCAGGCCAATGCATTTTTGTTATGGCCTATTCTGTCAAAATCAGGAATTTAGGAGGTAAACCTCATCTTTTTAGACAAATGTTTTAAATATACAAGTTTAAATTACTTACAAATGGCAGAATTATAACTCAATTTTCAACGTCAAATTTGAGAGATATACATTGAGGTTAATGTAACAAATAAGAAACACAAGGAACAATGCTGAATTTGAAATTATTAGCTTCACACGGTAAAATGGATATTTTAAACCGCCAAACGACAGGAGTCGACTAAAATCATCATATGGGTACATGTTTTATGTTTCAAATAAATCTTGTTTTTATTTCCTAACAAATAATTGCAAGATCTTACAACAAGCAGGATTTTTTTTTGTAAACTAAATACAAATTACTATTGTACAAATACTGGATTTAGGCTTACCCTGTAAACAAATTCTTAATTTTTCTGTTTTTATGGATTCTGTCTTAACTTTTTACTTTATTTTTTCTCACTAGACATTTGGTATTCATGATGTGATTGGATGTTACTTGAATCTTGACAATGGAGTAATTGGTTTTTCAAGAAACGGTAAGCCTAAATCCAGTATTTAACCAGACAGATACAGAACACCACCGCAGAAAAGTTTTTAAATAGATAATACTTGCAACATACCAACGTCACACTTTTTGATCGAGAAGGAATTGGTGACTGTGCATGAAGCAAACAATTGGTGTTTGTTTAAGTATTAAATAATAATATATTCTTTATTTAACACTGTTGGTTAAATTATTTTATATATATATATTCTTTTTAAATTTTGTACTACATATATTTCCTATTATGAGACTTACCTTTCAATGTTAACTTAGCACGTAGATTTAGGACTAACCTAAATACAACTCGGTTGACCTTTGCGAGATTATTGAGATTAAGGCCCAAAATATTGCTAACAGCAAGGATATCCAACTGATAAGTCAATGTAATTTTAATATTATACATAAGAATGATATATAAAGGTTACTGTATTCAGGGGTCAAAATGTTGCCATGCTATGCCTATGTTTTGCAAATGATGAAAATAAAGTTAGATAATTTTTATTGTGTACAAGTAAAAACCAATGGAAACAAAATTTTTCAAAAAAATCCACGAAAACAACCAATATATAGCTGCCATGTTGTGAAATTGATGGGCATTTGTTGTTTACAATGACTGAGAAGTGGTCTATGAAATGCCACTTTTGGTTGGTCAGTGCTCACATGAGCAGCCAATCGTGCATCGTGTTTCACATGGTTAAAATCTAGGTGGGAAAAATAATAAGAAAAACAGCACATAGTGTTGGATTTCTTTCAAAAAGTGAATGTAAGGAAAATATGAGCAAGTAAATGTAGTAAATTAATAACTTGGTCTGTATACATTATGTGTAATTTTTTAAGGCTGTGTCTAGGCCCCCTAGATCATGAGGAAAGAGGGTAACCAAAAAATTCATGCAATTGGTATAAAGTATGATATCGTAAAAGTATTTACAATGTTTCTCATTGGCCAGTTACAGTTGCTTTCTATCTGTTCTCTCAGAATACAGATATACAAGTCCCATAACACTAGATGTGATGTCTGGACATTCAAAGGTTAATTGTAACAGTACTATATGACAACTAAAAACTGTCACAAGTCCCAAAACACTAGATGTGATGTCTGGACATTCAAAGGTTAATTGTAACAGTACTATATGACAACTGAAAACTGTCACAAGTCCCATAACACTAGATGTGATGTCTGGACATTCAAAGGTTAATTGTAACAGTACTATATGACAACTAAAAACTGTCACAAGTCCCAAAACATTAAGTGTGATATCTTGACATTCAAAGATTAATTGTAACAGTACAAGAACACAACTAAGATCTGTAAGAAGTTCCACAAAATTAAATGTGATCTCTGGACATCTAAAGGTCAATTTGACTGAACACATTACCTCTTTGTACTCATTCAACCCCACCATTACAGGTTTGGTGGGAATTTGTACCAACAGAGAAATTAACAATTCTCCATTCAGAACATAATGTAATATAATACGTTATTTAATAGAAGAAAACCTTGGCTTAAATTAAACGTAAAAGAGAACTACTAACAAATCCTTAAAGAGAGAATGTGACAGGTGGGTGTGGCAAGAAAGGTCTGATTTTCTATTTGATAGCTATGTAACCAAACAAAATTGAAGGCTATAAAAATTATAGTTTGAGCAATGACGACTTTATAGTGAGTAACTTATGTTAAATTTTGGAATTATTGGAGGGGTGGTGAATAAAATAGAGAAGAGGGGATGCCTAGAGAAAATATATTACATTTCTCAAACTAGGGGAAATTCAGGATTTTTTTAAATATTACCTTATAAAGTTAAGAACTTAAAACTTATATACTATTAAAATATAGATTATCCACAATTTTATGCTATACTAATTGGTAAAACAAACAAAAAGTAGTTTAATAAAATTTTGAATGTAAGTCACTAAAACCATGTGACATGCACAGTAAATGAAGCCTGGGCAGAGAGGGTTAAGTACGTTCAAGTCCTAACGATCATGAAACACTTTACTTCATTGCAAAATAATTCTCCCCTCACCCCAATCTCTGTCAATGCTAATCAGAAGAGGTATTTACTGACCAGCATGTCACGTAACTATTCTAAAAGTCATGGGGGTAATATTTCACGAGTGCACCAAAATAAATACCTGCATAGAAGATATGTCAATCATTAACAACCATTAAACACAGGAAAATATCTGATGTTAAAGTATATAAATATGGTAAAAAAAGTGTCATGTATTTATTTTTAAACTGTGAGCTTTAATTTAAATTATATCATTTTGTTAGAAATAAAATTTGTTCACTACATTATAAAAACACGATGTCCTCAATTAATAATAAACGTTTCTAGGTTTAACTTTTAGAGATTAACAAAAAATGATGACTTCAAGATCTATATTAAATAAAAAAATCATGATGTTTTGAAGTTTTTATGGTTTACTAGTACCTTACTTTGTGTAGTTATAACGTGCCTTATTGTCCCTTATTAAAACATTATAAATCAAAGAAAATTTATTCATTTTTACAAACATTAAAATCCTTTGAGTAAATAATATACCATTATACATACTTAAATATTTTATAGTTGACCCTGTATAACAGAGAAATAATCCTCAATATTTTGATAACAGTGAGACAAACGACTATCGGGTCTTGAAATTGATGTCCCTTTTTTTTTTTTAAAGAACTGTATCAATCAAGAAGCAAAAAAAATGTTTTAATACCCTTTCCATAACAACAAAATACCTCATCAAAAAACAATGTGTAAAGCTTACCTCTCCATAGTCATCAAACTGTTTAGCAAAAGATTTCTTTCCTGTTCCTCCAAAACCAAAACTCTGACGATCAGTTCCTGAATGACAGTTTGGAAAAGGCAAAAACTTAAACAAATAGTAGAGTATCAATACAATACAAGGAATATCATTACTAAGTAGCAGAATCTTGATGTGACATTTGGAGCCATGTTATCTAGTAATAGGATATCAATACAATACAAGGAATATCATTACTAAGTAGCAGAATCTTGATGTGACACTTGGAGCCATGTTATCTAGTAATAGGATATCAATACAATACAAGGAATATCATTACTAAGTTGTAGAATCTTGATGTGACACTTGGAGCCATGTTATCTAGTAATATAATATCAATACAATACAAGGAATATCATTACTAAGTTGTAGAATCTTGATGTGACACTTGGAGCCATGTTATCTAGTAATATAATATCAATACAATACAAGGAATATCATTACTAAGTAGCAGAATCTTGATGTGACACTTGGGGCCATGTTATCTAGTAATAGAGTATCAATACAATACAAGGAATATCATTACTAAGTAGCAGAATCTTGATGTGACACTTGGAGCCATGTTATCTAGTAATATAATATCAATACAATACAAGGAATATCATTACTAAGTAGCAGAATCTTGATGTGACACTTGGAGCCATGTTATCTAGTAATAGAATATCAATACAATA